TATGCACGGTAAAATTCGACCGAGCTAGTAGGTATCTTGAGAAATCAACTCTACTGCAGATTTTTTTATATTTAAGTAAAAGCTTATTTTTTTTATTTTTTAGGTTAGTGAGCCACCTTGTAAACCAAGGAGGATTTGTTGAAGCGGACGGATATTTCCAAGGCACACATGAGTCAAAAAATGTATTTTAAGTAAAATAAAATTTTTCTAAAGTGGCATTAAGATCAGTGCACGCCAGAATAACAGACCAGTCAAATGTATCGATAAGGCTATTGAGTTTCTGAAAATCAGCTTTACGGAAACAACGAATCTTATTTACCACGCTCGGAGACATCTGATCGATACCAGGAGTGGTTTCGATTGAGACCTCCAGCCAGACCTATGGATCCTCTGGGGTTGAAAGGGGAAAAGCTCTGGAGAGAGCAGTACCAACAGGATCAGATACAAAACATAAGTCTAAAAGCCGACATAGCGAATTTCTAACATGATTGATCTGACGTAGGGACATGTCAAACATGCCCGCGGTGAAGTCATGGTAAGTTATAAGTGACAAAGATGGTGAGTTATCGACGTTGGACCACTTTAATTCAGGGATATTAAAGTCGCCCACTGCTACGAGTTGGTCACGATCCGTCATAAGATTAGAGACGTATCGAATGGCGGACAAATGCTGCCAATATGTAGGCGGTTCAGACATAGGAGGTATATATGAACATGTAATGTATAAAGCTTGAACGGACATAGGGATTTTAATGCAAATAATTTGTATGTCACCAAACTTTTGGGATTTCACCTCTTCAGAAGCAAGAGTAGAGTCTACCGAAATGAGGACTCCACCTCCTCTTCGCTGAGATCGATCCCGTCTAAAAGTGGTGCACTTACTTGGAAAAACTTCGGAGCTAAAGATCTCCGGACTTAACCAAGTTTCTGTAAATGCTATTATATGGGATGCAAAAAAAAAGAACTATCAGAATATAGCTTGGAGAGTTTGCTACGTAGCCCCCTAGTATTCTGATAGGTAAGAGTTAGTGAGGAAACTAGTTTTTTGGGTTAGTGGCCAAAGAAGAGGTGGAGGGTTGGTCAGTGGTTCCGATATTGGTAAGTCTCACTCCCACTGGTTTTTTAACTTTTTTTCTTCACGGAACTAGGCTGATGTTCTTGGACGAAAAGATTCTCTGGCCAAAAACTGGGAGAACAAATCGTCTTGAACATCAGCGCGGGCACACGAATCTTGAAAGAAGACGTGCGCCGTGTATAATTATATTTAAATTTAGTTATGTCCTCCACCTTTATATCGGCTTTTGTTTTGGCTTTGATATAAGCCGAGATATCAATCTCTGAAGTATCAGGGGCAAGACGAGAAACAAATATATGTTTCGATGGAGGAATCACCTGTAAGGGTTTTGGTGTCGCAAGAACTGCAGCATCAGTCGGTGCCGGTGGTCCGGACTGTGGAATACCCTTTTGGGTGACTCTAATGGGGGTTTCGTTCCCTAGGACCTGTGGCATCACTTGAAGGGATGCCATGGCGGACATATCAGACAATTGCTCATTATCCCTGAGAAATTCTGACGAATTTTTCTCAGTTCTAGCCCTTGGGGTGGCCAGAGATATAAGCGGCTGCATTAATGTCGGCTGAGTGGGCTGAGGCGGATCACAAAGAGCGGATGTCTTATGCTTAGGGAACTCATTTAGCAGCTGAAGGCCGCTAAACTTAGTGTCTTAAGCGTTCAGAGCTGGTTGTTGATTTTACGAAAACCAGTGATCAACTCTTTAAATCCATTTTTGGTCTGTCTCATGAACGACCTTATTTCGCCTTGAACAGCACGACAATTTTCACAACAATAGTGTATACCCGACCTACGGGAAATGGCATCCGAAACTGAGGCAGTGAATCCGGCACACTTGGCGTGCACGACGTTTTCACATAACCAGCAATGGATGGTAGGCTGGGATGCGGAAATTGTCTTGTTACAAGACTTAATATCGCAGACAAGTTTAAATTCCATTTTTTTTTTAATTAATAAAACAAAAATTAATATATAAAAAGTTAAAGAACACAATACCTTGAACCTCTGTGCCAAATAGGGAGCCGAAGCGGGAGCTTTGAATAGTGCAAAAGAGAAACAGAAATAGAGATAAGCCGGGGAAGAAGCAGAGCTGAGCTATGCTTGGAATTGAAATTATTAAATTTATTAATTCGACTCCAAATATAACACAGCACTCGCGAAGCGATACGGTTTAAGCTTAAGATTCACAATATATGTATGCAATTGATTAAGTGAGTAAACACCGGTTTACCAATATTTATAATAAAACGCAGTGCGCACAAAAAAAACACGACCGTTCGCTTAAGGGAAGGGTAAGGTACTACTTTTTTTTTTTCATTTTTTTTTTTATTTTTTAAATTGATTGCATAATATTTGAATATTGTGTCAAAATTTCAAGTCAATTAAAGCAAAATTGACGGAGTTATTAGTTATTGACGAAGTTGCCTATAAACGTTTTACACTGGATTTTTTTGTGTTTAAAACTTTAAAGCGTCTTTCCCACAACTCACGTTTTCAAAGTCGGTACCCCTCATAACTTCAAAACTACTGCACCGATCCTTTTGAAATTTTAAAACACAAATAGAGACAAATTAAGACAAATTAACCGATTTTTTCCCAAAAAATTGAGTTTTTCACTTCAAAGTCTTCGAAAAAATTGGAATTTTAAAAAAACCTTCATAGCGTTACCTGGGGCGAACTATTATAATAGATAATTATCTAACGAATGAATTTTCATTTTTTGATTACAAATGATCCAGCACTTAGTTATTTTTTGTAAAAATTTGATAAAACATTCTTCTAATGTCATACTTTAATATACCGTTGGTTGAATAAATAAATTTTAACTGTGTCGTCAGGAAAAAAATCAAAAAAACATGGCTTTTTTCGCATGATTTGACCTTACCCTCCCCTTAAGAGAAAGAGAGGGAAGTGATATTATATATTATATTATCAAATGATATTTGTCGACCGCTGTTTTTGTGTTTATTTTTTATGCATAAGTATGTGCCTATTGCCTTAGTTGGTCACGGCTCTGTGACAGCCGCTCAACTTCAAAGGACCTTTTTGAGAGACCTTTAGCTTCGCAATGTCTATACCGAGGAGCGGCGGCCTCTCCGCTATCGAGAACTTTAGCTTCGTTATGTCTAGTTGGGCCGAACTCTCTGTTCGTTACATTAAGTCACTGCTTTGCCCCATAAACCTTTCTATCATAATTTGATGACCCAGTTTTATCTGCCTGCAGAATAAATAACCTATACCGTGCAATTATTTCATTCGACTTTTATTTTGAAGCGGATCGTTATTGAAAATCCTCAGTTCTCAATAATTCCAAAAGGTAAAAAAAACAAGAGAAAACAATTTATGATGTATCAATCGAAAAGAGAAATCAAACATCTGTCAATGTCCAAAAAAACCTTTACTTCAAAAAAATCTCAGTCAAATGGTCAAAAAATAGCGTAGTCAAAGTTGGGCGAAAACTATCGGTTTATTTCTGAGTGAAACTCAAATGAAAAACTGAATAAATATGTTGATTTCTGACAAATTATTTAATTCAAATATTTTAAAAAGTACGTAAATCTTTTATTAATTTTTTACGCATTGTTGGTCGCAAGCCGATAGTTTCTCGGCCGCTCGGACGATTTCAAATAGACAATTAAGCATCTCAAAGTAGCGAGCATTCGCTGTTTTCATTCTCAATTTAATATGCGGCAAACAAAGATTCTCTAACGTTTTTAATTATTTAATTCTTCTGTAGGTGATTATTGTCGATGAAAAATCTCAATTACCAAATATTGGTGACCACGATGCTGGTTATCATAAGGTTAATATAATTAACAATTTTATAAAAACAAAAAAAAAACGCAAAAACATATGCGGTGTAGATTAAAAATTGCATGAACAGTATTTGGTAAATTAATCAAATACGCAGCATATTAACACATCAGTATACTCAAAAAAAAATTAACCCTAAGATTTAGAAATTCGCCCTATTTTTGTCTTCAACGGCACCGCACCATAAAATTTAGGGTAAATTTTTCTAAAATTAATGGCATTTCCTTTCTAAAATATAAGGAAAATTGCCTTAAAAATAAGAAAAAAATTTCTAAAAAATAGAAAAAAATTCTTAAATTTAGGGTAAATTTTTCTAAAATTAATGGCGTTTCCTTTCTAAAATCTAAGGCCAATTTCCCTAAAAATAAGAAAAAAATTTCTAAAATATAGAAAAAAATTTCTTAAATTAAGGGTTTGTTTTTCTAGGTTTTAGAAAAAACTTTTCTAAAACTAAGGAAAAAATGTCTTGATTTCATGGCGATTTTTTCTAAGCCCCAGGGCAAGGCGCCCTAAAATTAAGATACCTTTCTACAATATATACAAATATTTCTTAAATTAAAGGTGACCTTTTCTAAATTCTAGAAATTTTATTTCTACATTTTACATTACATATTACATCATACATTTACATATTTTTACATTATTTTTACATTTACATTTGTTTTCTTTGATAGCTCTCTTCAGTTCTTACTTTCACATAACACTTTATTTATGGTATATAATAAATTTGACCCTCGAATCTTGAATTGTATACTTGACTTATAAATTTCCAGTAGCACCATGTTTTCCCCTTTTGGTGGGGACTAGAATAGCGTGAATCATTTGCGTCCTTTTTATCTGTGGAAAATAACGTCAATTAATATTGCGATATAAATATATTAATATACTATTTAATCGTGAATGTTTTAAAACATCTTTTAAGGTAGTGTAATTATTACCTTCGCTTTGTTGAGGGAATGTTTTAGTAAGATAAAACTCTGGACTTCCTTTTAACGAAATGAGAGAAAAAATTGCCACAATCTAAGAATTAATTCAATAAATGCATTAAATAAAACAAAATTAATGTATAAAAAATATTACCAATTTGTCTTCACAATTCTACTTAAGAATGGGCAATTCCTCCTAAGCTAAGTGTAGCTACACTTGTATCGTCCTAGAAAAAGAAACTTTTGCGCCACTCAAAAGTAAGATCAAATTTTGCGTTTGCAAGGCTAAGCTTCACCTCTTCACTATTGAACATCAGCCATATTACCTGAAAATGTATTTGGGAAATTATTTTTAACCTTTGAAGTGGGGCGTAATTTACCAGTTGATAACTTTTTCTCCTTAGCCTTCAAATGATAAATTTTGCCATATGCAGCAGACCTTCTGGCTTTTTTCCGATGTTAAGATCTATCATGTCTTTCCACAATTAGCTCTAGATTAATTTAATTAGTAATTAAATTAAATTTCTTATGAAATTAGTAACGTTTTTAGTAACTTACCAGCGAAAAAAAGAAAAGGCTTCTCAGTTTATCTTTTTCAGCAAGGAATCAATTAGCACTTTTTAAATAAACTTTTTAATAAACTTGTAATGTCAACATCTTAGAGATAGTTTAAATATCGTTACATTATTTCTTAACATGATTTTTTGTATTTAACATGTTAAAACTTTATACATAAAATATAATATAGATCAGTATGCATTTATCTGCCCGTGCTCTGCCACACACACAGTATAAGTGTGTGAAACGTCATGACGCGTCATGCTCAGAGCCTACTTTCTGCTATACTAATACTAATGCGTTAAAATCATATCAATGTATTGGGTGCCGACCACGGACAGAGATAAAATATAAAAAAAAATTATATATTAAAAAAAAATATTTATATTTTCTAGGGTTACCTAAATTAAAGGGTAACACTGTGCATTTTTAGAAAGGAATTTCTATATTATAGAAACAGTTTTCTATTTTGTAGGGTTAGTATCTTTTTTAGAAAGGAATTTCTATATTGTAGAAACAGTTTTCTATTTTTTAGGGTTAGTATCTTTTTAAGAAAAGGATTTCTATATTGTAGAAACAGTTTTCTATTTTTTAGGGTTAGTAAATTTTATGGTGAGCCTTTCTATTATTAAGAAAATATTTCCTGAAAATAAGTCATAATTTGCCTTAATTATAGAAAAGTTTTCTTGATTTTAGGGCGATTTCAGTTTATGGCGACTATTTCTATATTTGAGAAAAACTTCTTTGATTTAAGAAATTTTTCTTGTTTTCAGAAAATTTTTTCTAGAAACTAGAAATTTTTTCTTGTATTTAGAAACAATTAAGTTTTATGGCGAATTTCTAAATTTAAGGGTAAATTTTATTTTGAGTGTAGGGCGGAAGCAATAAGCAATCAGTTTTTAAATAGAATAATAAATAAATTTTTGAGTTACCGAGCAGTTTTCGGTAGCCGTAAGTTTTCCAAGTTCCCAATAAATAATAAACGCGTTCAATTAAATCCCTTTATTGCGGTATCGACCGAAACCGCTGCCGCTATAACTTAATATAGTAAATTGTTTATTATTTAAATGAGTCGAACTAACGTCCCGTCAGACTAAGGACAACGCTAAGTAGAATAAGTGAACGAGAATTTAAGTTTACGATCTTTAGGTTAATTATGTTAATTTAGGTTACGAGTTACGATCTTAAGATCTTAGCTTAAGATTAATTTCTTGTTACAAAAATCTTACTTGTGCTGTCCTTTGTTTACAAAAGTTTGGGAGCGAAGTCGCCCGAAGTCGTTGTTTACATTTATTCAGCGTAGGATCGCCTACGCTGCATATTCTTATTCCTGGTACATAACTGAGTATCAACGCTTACGTTGATTCAGCGTGGAAACGCATACGCTGCATATTCTTATCTTATGTGGGACAACAGGTGAATGTGACTCTTCCCTCCTTTTAAAAAGGGTTACCTATGCTTGGGCTGGCATATCAGGGTACAATGCAGGCAAGTGGTTTTGTGGCGATTCTATTTCTTGTTGTTGTTCTTGATTATTTTTTTCTTGTTTTATAAATTTTGTATAGAATAAAAAATGGTAAGTGGATTTCGTTTAAAAAGGTTTGAAAGGACAAGGAAAATAATAAGAATAATAACTACAGTGATTGTAGTTACGTAAAGTGTGATATTGCTTTATAAAATTAGTTTTTAAAGGCTATTATGTTCTACCATTTGTATCTTAGTTACATTAATCGATGACTTCAATTGTGTAAGAACAAATTCTGGACTTAACGAATTTTCGCTTAAAATAACATTTCCAATTTTAACTTTACACTGTTTTATTCTAATAATTTTGATACCATTTATTTTTATATCGCCATTTAATTCTTGACAATTTTGAGTGATTGTAGTTTCAGTTAGATTCCATATAAGTATAATATTTGGTTGAACTTATTGAATCAATTCTTTTGGCGTTGGTATAATATTACAAATTGGGTTCTTGTGCTAATTTTAATGCATTCATTCAGTTCTTTATTGGCTTGATTATAAATTTTATTCTCATCTTTAAAATATCATTGTTGATCTTAATAGTCTAACTGATATCCATTATGGTCGGGATAAGGAATTATTCTAATGGTGTTAATGATTTTGTTGTTAATAGGGATATGTGAAATATGTAGTAGATGATTATTTTTGTGGTCAATACAAGTTGATGTTTTTATTAAAAGTATATTTTGGCTGTTATTGCTTTCTAGCTTGTCATAATTCACTAACTTTGGGTTGAAAAGTCCAAGACGTGAAAGTCTTCAATTTACTCAATAGATTGCATGAGTTCATAGACAAATTTGTCAGTGTGATCACGTACTAAGTTATTTATTTTCGTAGTAAGTAAGTCTCTTCAGTCCTTCATTTACAAACTTAATCAAATAATTAAATTTATGAAGTTGATTTGAATTTTATTATATTTTGATATATTAGATATAGATATATTTTTTTGTTCATTTTTACCCTATCATTTTCATCGTGTGCCAAAAAGAATTTTAAAAGATGAACCTTTTATGTCAAAAAGTTCACGTTTCTGCCTATTTTTCTGATGAAAAGTGAATTTGAATTTGTTGAGTGTGGCCCGTGGTGAATAATAGAACAACATTATTGTAGGGTTTCTAATAAAATAATAGAACATCAACATAAGGTTCCTGTGGGAGTTTAACGATATTAGTTATCTTTTGTTTCTTAAATTGTGTTCTGTAGTATCTGGTTTCCCTATTTCGACTAATAACTTTTTAATGGTCTTCGTCTATTTTTATACCCTTGCAGAGGGTATTATAATTTTGGTCAAAAGTGTGCAACGCAGTGAAGGAGACATCTCCGACCCTATAAAGTATATATATTCTTGATCAGGATCACCTCCTGAGTTGATATGAGCATGTCCGTCTGTCCGTCTGTCCGTCTGTCTGTCCGTCTGTCTGTTTCTACGCGAACTAGTCTCTCAGTTTTAAAGCTATCGTCTTGAAACTTTGCACACACTCTTCTTTCCTTTGCACGCAGTATATAAGTCGGAACGGCCCGGATCGGCCGACTATATCCTATAGCTGCCATATAACTGATTATCGGAAATGGTATAACATTGGTGTTTTTAGAGATAGAGAGTTCAAATTTGACATGAGAGCTATTTTTGGCAAAACATTACGTCATTACGGTATTTGGTAGAAATATTAACTTTCGTATTTTTGAAGATAGAAGTTTGGGACTTTTTTTAGATTTTGTATTGTAATAAATTGGATTATATATTCCTATTCCCATAAGGATCGGCCAACTATATCCGATGTTTGCGATATATATCCGGTTTTAACTGCAAGGGTATATAAACTTCGGCTCCGCCCGAAGTTAGCTTTCCTGTCTTGTTTTTTATTTGCTTTTTATAGTTGTATTTGCTTTAAGTGTGAGTGTTTTCAATGCCGTAATCCGCAACAAAAAAAGGGCGGAATTTAAGTTATTTTAAAATGATATAAATGTTTATGGTGCATGCGGCACGACTAGTCATACGCGAAGCTATAGCTCTAACATTACATTAAACCGCTGTGCTGATGCCTGACACGACAGTGGCAATGTTAAATTCCGGTCGATTTTCATTTAATTTATCTATTTATTTTCCTTTCTTTAATATTTTGAGTGTCTAATATTAGATGCCCAGGGTATAAGAATATATTAAGCAGGTGTTTGTCTTATGGTGTCATGTTTAGTTTTATGGTTGTATGTGTAAAGAATTTTTTCTATCTTGCTTAATTTTACTTCTTCGTCATCGGATGAATTGATTATTCCGATTTATTCATTTATTGCCTTATTTGACGTCCTTCGACGTCTGCTACGCCATTCTTTGCCGTATTGAGTTGTAATTTAATTCCTTCTGCTTCAATCCTTAGAGCCTTCAAGCCTTCTGCTTAGAGTCAAGCTGGAGAAATCTCCGTCTCTGTCTGCCTTTAGCATTTTGGCTTTGCCTTATTGATTAAAAATACGCATTAGCGCGTTCCTGCATTCTATTCAGACCTTTATTTTAATTTATTCAAATTAAGAATAAATTTCAAAGCAACTTATGTAATGTTTTTCCTCAGACGAATTACTACAAATTTCACTTGACAATATTCAGGGTTGGGTGCGATTTTCAAAGGCATTTTGTGTTTCTGTATTCTGTTTTTGCCGAATTGCATATGTTGCATTCATTTATTATATTCTAAATTAATATTCAGAATATCTGGAAATTAAGAAAGGATATTTGGAAGGAAGTGATTTTCTTTGAATAATTTTGTCATTTTTTGTATACTTTGGTGTAAAAAAAAGAAAGGTTTTCATGTGATTGAAGTATAATTTCTTGGAATTCGGCGTTTGAACAAACATTCTTTAATAGGTAGAGACTGTTAATTACTTTAGTGTAGGTGGGATTAATAATTAATTGAATTTCTCTGTATGTTCTTTGAATAATTTCAAAGTCTACATATCTTCAAATATAAATGGTAATATTTCTGTAAATAAAATTACCAAGTAAAATAAAATGTCATTACATTATATTTAATTTTGGTAATAGATTACGGATATTGTTCAATGCTATACTTTATTTTAATCGTATTTAATGAAAAATATTTGTTTATAATAAGGTTGCTGATGTCTTCTTTTGCACTATGTTGAGTAACTTCACTATGATGATTTTCTTCAATTTTGATTCTTGAGGCGTCGCCAACTGAATTTTCCTTCCCGTTAATATAGTTGATGTTAAATTTTTATTTGTTTAATTTAGTTCTCCATCTTTGTAACTTGGCATTCGGTTCTTTTAAGGTATGCAACCATCTTAGAGGTTGATGGTCAATAGCAATGAGAATATGTCTCCTTAGTAAATATTGTAATGACAAGAAGTTTTAGTGGCCCAAACTATGGCGAGTAATTTCTTTCGATAGCATTATAATTTATTTGTGTTTATTAAGTGTTCTGCTTATGAAAGATATAGGATGGCCATTTTGAGAAAGTACGGCCCCAAGTGCTTAATTACTGGCATCTGAGGTTAAAGTGGATTTTTTCGAAATCGGGATATTAGTTCTGCAATTATTGAATGCTTCAATGTAGTTATGATTTTGTGTATCTATCTTTGCTCCTTCTTTTCAACATTTGGTCATTGGTTTTGCTATGTTTGCGTAGTTTGTGATAAATTTACGATATTAACCGGTTAATCTAAGGAATGCTCAGATCTCTTTTACTTTTGTTGTAATTGGATATGAAATTATGGCTTTAACTTTAAGGGGTTTTGGTTTTATGCCATTAAAGGTTACAATGTGACCTAGAAATTTAGTTTTTTTTTTTAAGAATTCACTTTTTTTTGAATTGAGTTTTTTTCACTAGTTGGAAAAAAATAGTTTTAATGAATTTAAAAGTTCGGTAAGAAATGTAGAAAAAGTAGAAACAAATTTTAAAGATGTAGGATGTAGAAACATTTTTAATGATGGATGGATATTGGATGATGTATATTATTCATACACCTTTGAAAAGTAGCGGGTGCATTTCTAAGGCCAAATAGAATTCGGAGGTATTTGTAGTGACCGCTTTTGGTGGAAAATGCAATTTGAGATATTGATTCTGGGTCCATATCTATTTTATAAAATCCCTTTGCCAAATCGATATTGGAAATTTCCTAGCTCAGCAAAGATTTCGTCCATGTTTGGTATTGGATATCGGTCGGGAATCGTTATTTCATTTAGTTCCCTATAGTCAATTACTGTCCTACATATACTTAATTTTACCAGAGGTATCCGTTTTTTTGGTACAACCCAGGTAGACCTATTTTATGGTAAATTACTTTCCCTAATTAATCCCTGATTAAGCATTTCCTGCACTTGGCTTTCGACTTCAATTTCGTTTGCTTGATCAAGAGGGTACTGTTGAATAAATTGGGGAGTTATGTGTTATATTTAGTACGTTTTTAATAGTATTTGTAAATTTTAGATTGTCTCTTTTTTTATATTGACGATTTTTGAATTTATTTAATAAACTTTTTAACTACAAAATTTCCTCCTGATTCAAATGATCTAATCGAAACAATTCAAAATCAATTTTTTGTATTGATTCCTGAGCGGATTTTTTTATTGGTTCTGGTCCCTTTGGACATGAAAATCTTAGTTTTTTTCAGATTTTAAAGAAATTTATTTGTATATTTTATTAAAAATGGTTACTGTGTTAATTTTTTAATTTAATTGTGCATTTCTGAAAAATTTCTGTCAATCAGTATATCTTAGTTAAAAAAACTGTGTACAAAAAATGGTTCATTTGTTTTAAAAATACTATTTCTGGGTAACATAATCAGGTTGTTCAACGTAACAAGATCATTTGATGTCAAAACTTCACATTAAGTATTTTGATTAGGAAGTCGACATATATTTTTATTGATCATATTTATTCAGAGCGATTTTGATTTTGTTCATTTGTATTTTGGATGGTTTGTACCTGTTGTTGCCCTTCATTAATCAACCCATAGTACTGATTGTGGTCATAATACTGTTGTTCATAATAATTAGGTTGTGATTCTTCGTATACTCGCTCGTCTGGAAATGTCTTTCGTCAATAGACGTTTTAGTTTAATCACTGTCCGATAGTCTAAGTCGTTTGGTAACCGGGAAGTTAGTTTTTTTTTGTTGTTGTTATATAGATTTATATACAACATATACATGTTGTATATATTTCTTTTAAAATGTGCTGTTTGAGGACTTTGAGTTTTTGGAAATTTTGTGGAAGGGTCCGAAATGATTTGGTACGTGCCACATAGCTTGATTCTTAGGAATCTGCTTAGGAATCTGATTGCATGCATTGATTAAAATTACGTTGGAATGGCTGAGAGAATTGTGGGTAACATGGTCGATATTGGGGTTGGGTATTTGTATTGAATTGAGTGAGTTAAAATTCTGAGTAGGGTTTGCAGTTTTATTACAGTGTTTTTTATTTTTATTTAATTCAAAATTAATATGTTCTTCTTTTATTCCCTTATTTTGTGCAATATTTATTAACGATCTTAAGCCTGTAATATTATGATGAGCCAAAATAGTAAATAATTGTATTGGTAACTTCCTGATCATTTTAATGGAATCCGTAATCGCCTGTACATACAGTAAATAAGAAAATCTGGTTCGTTACCTTCCAAATTCAGTTTCGAAATCAATAGTTGTTGTCTTCTTTCCGCTTCTTCGCAGAACGCTCTCAGATTTTCTTTTATAAGGTGTCTCGCTGAAGTTCTCGAGTAGTTTATAGTTTGGTTTTTGGGGTTTAAATTCTGCAATCCGTTTTGATCGTAGGGTTTCGATCGATCGTGTCACAAGTCCGTCTAAGTTTCTTTCGAAAGCTCCAAGTAGAATTCTCTGTTGTCGTACATGATTAGTTTGATAGAGTGAAATTACACAGTCCACCCTGCTGATGAAGGTGCAGAAGGTTTCTGGATCACCCTTAAATGGCATGATATCATTTATTTCCCGACGAGCTTCAGCAAGGTTGTTGTCGTTTAGCGCCACGATTTGAGGTGCGGCGATGATTGGTTGCGACATTTTTATTGTAAAGTAATTTCGTTGTTATATAATAATGGCCCATTCGGCCATGTCGGCCTGTTATTACAAAGGCAAACAGCTATGCCGTGAGAAGTTGTCCTTAGATGAATGTCTTATGGTTGCTTACATCGTCGTCCGAGGTGGAGATCCATGGATTCCATGGTGGCGTATGTTGCTTGCGTTTATGTCTTGTCCAAGAGCACAGGATCTGCAAGTCATTTATTCTGCTTCAAGCCCCAAGTCACGCCTTTAAAGACGGTTTCGGTGCCGAAAAAAGACTTATCGGCAGCCGAGTTTTTGGCTCGACTTATGTCAGAAGTAGCGCAGTTAAATTTCTACGTTGGAGAGCATTTTTGCTGGTGCGATTCTGCTGTGGCTCTGTCTTGAATTCGGGAAGAACCAGCTTGGAGCGCAAGACTAGTGGCCAATCGCAATCCCACCTGAGAGATGGTCGTCTAAAAAATTTTTAAGATGGGGTTTGATAGTCAGCACTCAATTATACTGCCTAGAAGCCATCCAGTCACGCTTTTTATGATCGGAGAATTTTGTTTCAGGCAGCAGACAACTCCTAGCTTTTAAATAAGGCCTAACTATTTTATTAATTATCTACGCAATGTTGTTCGCAAGCCAACCAGCATCTTAAGCTATCGAGCTTCGTTCCTAGTCTTTTGGTGCTCGCCCCATAAATTTCCGTCTCATTGTTTTATTCCCATTTTCATATGCAGCAGGTCCAAAAATTTAGAATTTTTTTTAGAAACAAGTAGAAACGGTTATTTGCAAAAAATGATGCGAAACGTTACATTTCCCTGTTATCCCATTTTTATGTGCATTAAATAAAAGCCGCCAATGGCCAAACTATGCAAAGATATGTACTAACCCACGAGCGCGAATTTCTTCGATACAAGCAATAGACCTTAAGATCCACTTCCGTCTTCCAATTATAACGCCGGAACCAGCGCGTGAAACTTTCTTGCAGCAAAACTATCATGTGCCCGGTGCTCTTGCTTGGTTACGTTTAACATGACAACACTTCGATGTTTATTGCTTAATAATCCCTAATCAATTTTGTCACACGAAAAATGGGTAACACATATATCATAAAAATTGGTAAAAAATAAACTCCACTCATGATCGACCACGTTTATTTTTAAATGTACTTGCAAAGGCCATTAAAATGTTGCTCAACAGTGTGCAACGCAGTGAAAAATACATCTTCCACCCTATAGAGTATATATAATATATTCTTGATCAGGATCACCTCCTGAGTTGATGTAAAGATGTTTGTCTGTCTACCTGTCTGTCTATCTATTTTTTGCTACGCGAACGGGTCTCTTAGTACATTTTGTACTCTAAAAAACTAGTTTCATAATAAAATTCTCATTATGATCAGCCACATATTGCCGATATTTGCGATATACATCTGATCTCAACTTTAAGGGTATATCAACTTGACTTTTTTTAGCGAAGCCGAAGTTATCATTCCTTTCTTGTTTTATAATAAAATAAAAATTAAAATGAAATATATAATAAGAAATAAATTTAATTTCTACACATATTAAACTAATTGCTCCTTAAACTTATTAACCAAACTAATAAAGTTTACGAATTTCTTTATTTAAGGACGATTTGACAAAGGAGCAAACAGCTCGTAAGTTTTTGTTGTTAAAATTTAAAAAAAAATGTTTGATTTTTTTTTCATTTAATATTACCGACAGTTCTTCGTAATGCATTTAATGCTTTTGATCCAGAAAAAAATGGGTATATCAATACAGCTATGGTTGGAACGATTCTTAGTATGTTGGGCCACCAGCTGGATGATGCAACCTTAGCCGACATTATTGCTGAAGTGGATGAAGATGGGTCTGGTCAAATTGAATTTGAGGAGTTCACGACTTTAGCTGCTCGATTTCTTGTTGAAGAAGATGCTGAGGCTATGATGGCCGAGTTGAAAGAAGCGTTTAGGCTATACGACAAGGAAGGTAATGGGTATATAACTACTGGCGTTTTGCGTGAAATTCTTCGAGAACTAGATGACAAATTGACTAATGATGATCTTGACATGATGATCGAAGAAATCGATTCTGACGGATCAGGAACCGTTGACTTCGATGGTAATTGTTTTTTTTTCTTTAATATTTCGTTCCATTATTTAAAATACATGTTTTTCTAGAGTTCATGGAAGTGATGACTGGTGGCGATGATTAATGATTTAATATTGATAATTGATCGAATACACTTTAAGAAATTGGACATGTCACGTTATTATTGTTGTAACATATTTTAAATGGTGCATGTTGAGCCAAATGAACATACATATGTTATAAAAACATAACATTACAAAAAATAAAATAAAATATAAAAATAATTTTTATTTTAATTCGTTCTCTTATTAATGGGAATCTTAATGTTTGGTCCTTGAGAGTTTTCGATGACTGTTAAATAAAAACCAAATTTTATTCAATTGAAACGTTATAAATCTTTATTTTGCCGTATTTGAAACTGTGTTCTTATTTTTGTGATAGACCAATTTAGGATGCGAGCGCAATAAGACCTAAAGCGAGAGTGGCGCCAACCTTCAATATTAGGCTGAGCGGATGCTCACTGGCTTTAGATTCCGAATCAGTTGAAGCCGAGCGGCCGAACGGGAGTCGGCTTGCGACCAACAATGCCTAACTAATTAATTAATTATTTGAAATAGAAACTAGCTGCTTGACCCGACACTCAATAAAAGATACAAAGAGCGTAAAATTAAGTGAATTTATTAACTTAACGAGAAGTCAGCTGCACCGACTGAAAGTTAAAGCCACTTTTAAGCAAATCTTTTAAAGTAGAGCAAAGCTAAATTCAATGGTCATGCGGCTATACAAAATTTACTTACGCGGAGAAGAGGACCGCGAGACAAATACTAGAAGCCATGAGCGAGCTTAGACGACCAAGAGCTCCGAAGAGTGGCTCAAAAAGGTAGAACGGGCAAAAAGTGTGCTACCTTTATATGGTGTGACGCCAAATCGGTCAAAGCCACGAAGTGCTTCGAAATCCTGGATCTCGAAGAGGACTACAAGGGTGCCAAGCTCGTTTCGCTTAGCTGACGTGACGTCCCCTGCATATTGTGATCCCGGCATCCATTAAAGAGCCAGGTTAAATTCTTACGATGCTGCAGAGATGTAACCCTCACCTTCCCACGACGGACTGGAGCATAGCGAAGGTCGATGTAATGGATAATATAAACAAGGAATAATAAAGAACGAATCACTGTCCGACAACTCTGACGGATTCACCCTCTGGACTCTGGAGTCCCGGACATAAACCCTAAGTGGCCTAAATATGAACCGATCGTTATGGCTTAGCCCGCACACAGAAAATGCTAGTGTCGGCATAATTGTAACAAACGGTCAGCATATGCATACCCCTCGCGCCTCCACTTGAGAGTGCATAACAACGTATATTAGTATATTCCTTTATACATAAGTACATAGCCGTCTCTCTGCCGCCGCCTGCAAGCAGCGCAGCTAAGAGACTTAGCCTTACTTAGACTTAAAAAATATTTTAAAAGAACAGAGACAGTTTGATCGTTGGAGCGGCACCTCAGCTGCTCCTTCTAAATAAACACCCAAAAATAATAAAAGCACGGAACAACTGAATTATCCTATGAAAAAAGATTCCAGTTGAACTGGCCTCCGAGATGGAGGCCTAAGATGCCGAGGATGGCTAGAACACTGACCCATCTTTGGTGCTCTGCATGGAACTAAGTCAGATGGATGACATCTCCAACGACGAAGAGGCTAGGTCACAGGGGCGGAGAGTGATTTAGCAGATTTCCCTACCGTTTATGTGCAGAATCATAAACATCATCCTCAGATGGAGCAACCTCGGCTGCTCAGATGGAGCAAGACATCTGAGGATGGATAAAACATTTTAGGAATCTATAAACGTAAAACACTCAACCGAAAACCAGAATCAAAAGAAAGTAAGCCCCCTGCTATGAGAAAAAATTGTGCAAATTTATTTCGGCTTTTCTCATAAACCAGTGGGGGGCCAAACGAACACATGTTTAAAATGTTTTGAGTGTTTGCGCAGCAGAGAAAAACCATGAGAGCAGAGCATTCACTGAGCGAAAAAAAGGAGTTTTTTATTTCATTTGCGTTTATCTAAAGGTTGGAATGGGCATTTGAGCATTTGGAATGGGAATGATATATTATATTAAGAAAAGTTTTGCTAGCAAAAGTTCTTAAACAAATGAAAAACTATGCTTGCCTATCCTATTTGGGCTGTCAAGTGCTGCGTCAGAATTTCAACATAAGGAAAACAAGAAAGAAAAGCTAACTTCGGGCGGAGACGAAGTTGATATACCCTTACAGTTTAAACCGGATATATATCGCAAACATCGGATATAATTGGCCGATCCTTATGAGAATGTGATAATATAACCCAATTTATTATATTACAAAATCTTAAAAATATCACAAACCTCTATCTGCAAAAAAAGTTAGTATTTCTACCAAAAACCATTTCCGATCGTTCAGTTATTTGGCAGCTACAAGATCCCGGCCGTTTAAAACAAAGCTCTTAATTAAGCTTTAAAACTGAGAGACTAGTTTCCGTATAAACAGACAGACAGACCGACGGAAGAATATATATACTTTATAGGGTCGGAGATGTCTCCTTCACTGCGTTGCACACTTTTAGACAAAATTATATACCCTCTGCAAGGGTATAAGATGTTAACAGTTATTTGCGAGCTATGATTTAAAGATACACTTTGACCCTACACTGTGTATTACAAAGCCTTAAGCCATTTAATCTGCGGTTCTTTTCGGCATAATAGAAAGGATCATAGATCATGCCTACAACAAGGGAAAATCCACAGAAACTGCCCTCCAAGCGCTCATCTCTAAGATACAATGAGCAATATATCAAAACGAATATGCCCTCGTGGCCTTGCTTGAAGGGGCTTTCAGCCACGTTATCCCAAGGATCATAACTGACGTTTCTTGGAGTAGATGGCTGTAACAACGCTCCACTTCCATAAATTTTCACGCACGATTATACTTTTTATAATGCTCTTTATTCCCACTCTCCGATCTTTTCGAGTGCCGAACTTAAGCTAACCCTAATTACAAAAGAACAGAGAAAAGAGAGTAATAGAGAGGAGAGCGCCGCTCTCCTGAAAAGCGTCGACGCTGGCTTAGCATCCTGCTGCCGGTTCCCACATCCCTTCCTTCCTCACGAGCTTCAGCTTTAGTACTTCCGGGTCAGGTTCGTCCATCCTTCCAGATTCGCTGCTTGGATGGTACAGAAACTGAAGCTTGGTCCGTAGCAGAATCTGTATGGGAGTCCGTATCTATGTCATCCGGTGATTCTTTTGCCTTCCCCTACTACTTGAACTATTTCACCTGTCCTATCTACCACCTCATATACCGTGGTGTCGAAATTAGTTTAGTGTTAGTTTGTGGGGAAAAACGACATTCTTAAGGACCACTTTGTCTTCAACGTTTACGTTTACTTCCTTTGCTCCTCTTCTTTTGTCTGCCATTTCCCTTTCTTTTTTTTATTTACACAATCCTTTTTCTTTCAACCCACAACCGGTAAACTCTTCTACTAAATCCTGTATTCCCGGGATCTTATCCCGAATAATTCTATTGAACATTAATTCTGTTGGAGGCGTACCTGTCGTCCTATTAGGATTCATCTTTAAGATCCTTTTTGTGCATGTGGGCTATCTTAAGACGCTTGACTAGGGCTTTGTTTATGTTTTCCACTTCGCCGTTTGCCTGTAACCAATAAGGTGGTGTTGTAATTTGCTTAATGCCGCACGATTTGCAAAAGTCCCGAAACTCCCCGCTTACATATTGCCCACCATTATCAGTCCGAAACTCCTTTGGGTAACCCAGCCTACTAAAAATGTCCTTGTATGCTTCAAAAATTGATTGTGATGTAATTGAGCGCAGAAACTTAAACTCCATGTACCTAGAGTAGTAGTTTATTAGCACTAATATATATTAATTATTCGGGAGTGGCCCTAGGTCTGTAGCGACTGGCAGCCACGGTCCATTTGGAAACTCTGTTCTCTTCATTGGCGGTGAATTTGTCGCCCGGTGTACTAAGATGCAGTCTAGACAATCCTTCACAAATTTTTCCGTGTCCCTGTCAATTTGGGGCCACCATACTTTAGATCGTAGTCGTCGTTTCATTGCCGATTCGCCCGGGTGGCCTTCATGGCTAACACCAAATCCATGTGCCTTAGTGCCGTGGGGATGACAATGCGTACTCCTCTTAGCATAATGGTTCCAATATTTGACAATTCATGTCGAAATGAGTACAGTTTATTGGAAGTTGCAGGCTCCCATGAACCCTGTACAAGGCACTTCACTGCGTCGATTTCTTCATCCTTAGCGCAATTTTCGGGAATTTCGGATATAGCTATTGGTATGGGTGCGGCATTCTCAATAATTCGCAGTATGCTGTGTTCGCCTCTAATATTATAACAAGTAGATTGTCCTCCTTCACACAAACGGGATAAGCCAGGGACTGCAAATAAGACTTATGAGTTCAAAAAAATTGAACGACAAAAAAGCCTTTGTAGGGAGTGGAAAAAGGACACATATACAATTTTTTAACGGTGTGTCCAGAAACACAATAATCTTTTATTTCAATTTCAATTGCTAAAATTGAAATATAATTCTTAATTTCAATTTTTATAATAATAATTAAGAATGAGAATTATTTTTCAATTTTTATAAAAAAAAAATAAAAATAAAAATTATGATTCCATTTTTATTACAAAAATTAAAAATAAGTGTTACGATTCAATTTTTATTTTAAGATTACCCAAAGCAACAGGGCTCGTATAAGCCATCAGTCGAGTTTTATTATTTGGCTCAAAGTATGAGAGACTTTTCCTTCAACAGGACCCTTTTCCTTTTGACCCTTCTTTAACAACACCCGTAACGGTTCAGTTAGATCCGCCAGGTCTGGAAAAAACTTTCCCACGTACGTGACCAAACCCAGGAAACTATGCGTTTCTTCTTTGTTCCTGGGAGCTCAAAACGAACCAATCGCTAATATTTTCTCCGGATCCACCTCAATTCCTTTGTCCGTCCAAATATGACCCGGGAACTTTATTCTGTTTGTCTTCCAAATACATTTTTCATTGTTTAAAAGTGCATTATATTTGCAAAAAATGATTATGTCGTCGATACAGTTCATGACGTTGGAGCACGACGCCAAGATCTCTTCGAGCCGTCTGTGAAAGATTTCTGGAGCTGTGTTTGTGCCAAGCATCAATCTTTTGTATCTAAGCAATCCTTGATGTGTTATGAAGGTTTTTATTTGTCTACTTGATTCCTCTACTTTTAATTGATGTTACGCGTCTTTCAG